GTCAAGCAAAGAACCCTAACCTCATTCGTCAAGTGTTGCATCCAAACTCATCTGTGGACGTCAACATGGAGACGGCTGTAGTTGATAATAACCATAGTCAATGGCGTCATGAGCTTCCGAATGTGAGTCTACATCTTCGCAAGGTTGCCATCAATGGACATTCGCCGAGTGAGCCTCAGAAGTCCCTACCTTTGTCTGAGGCTTTTGTTCATTACTTCGTATCTTCTTCCTTGATGGTGAGCAGTTCTTCTGAATGCTTTGACTGGGCTATTACAAGTTTGCTTTTAACGATTGTTGATTAAAACACATCGGAAGAACTAGTCGTTTGGCAGAAAGCAGTGTTTACTCACACCTCTTATTTATAAACTTTGCCGGATCTGTTAGGTGGACATCTTACTGGTGGATAAATTGCGCAAGTCCGATCCTGGAATTCTAATTCGAGTGTCACCAGAGTTGTCATACTGGGAGTTTGCGAAGCTCGCTGCTGGTTACCTCTCAGGACGATTGGATCACCTTCAGTTCTTCGCATCTCACCCTCCTCCGACATCTGGCACTGGTGTCAACGCAGCTGCTAACAAGACTTCTAATGTTTCCGCACAAGATCTTCATGTCACTGCAACAAATCCATCTCCTCTCTCGGGCGACCCAGGAAATGGGAACAGTTTTTCACCGAGCGGTGGCGCATCTCTGGTATCCGAACAGTCACTTGCTGCCAAGGCTTCAGGTTTGTTCTATGCCTTCCATGTTTACATCGTGGATGCTCTCTTTCTGAATAGTTCCACAGTAAATGCATTTGCATTGTATCGTTCTGTCATTGTTAAAGAGTTTACGCTATACACAATTCGTGTAATTGCTATAGGAAGGGCCGTACTACTTTTTTTCACTTTTTAGTTTGGGTAGGTCTACGAATGTACTTTCTTTCACAGGTTTTGCTGGTGCTTCCGCTAATTTGATTAGCGCTCTGGCTTCAGCTGCCCACCAAGGCCTTGTGCGCGAACCACCTGGTCCACCGGTTCCGTCGGGGACGAAGGCAAATCTACGTGACTTTCTTTCGCTTCCCTCTACTGTCTCTGCGATCACAGTTCAATGCACTACCCCAGCCAGTGTAGCGTCACAAGATCGTCCCTCCCTTTGTGTATCGCGCTATTCTAGTATCCCTAGGGCTATTCCCTCTCCCTTCAGCAATCACACCTTACATGTGCCGGCCCCTCGCCGCGTTTATTATGCACACACGGCCTTGCCAGTGAGTCAGTTGGAGTGCCTAAAGCAAATCCAAGTGGCCTTTTTCGGTCCTAAACTCACCGACCGCCTGGACTTGGGGCTTTCCGTTCCTAGCAGTGGAACTGTGACCGACATCTTGGCTGAGGTTCGGTCACACATCACCTTGAGTGGATCCGGAAAACTTCGTCTAATGGAGATCAGACTGAATCGAATTTTCCAAATCTACGAAGAAAATTATCCTCTGGAGAGGATCGATGATGCGATGATGGTGCTTCAGAGTGATATTAATGAAAATCTTCGAACTGGCTTGAGAGTGGAGGAGGTGCCTCAAGATGAAGAAAATTTGCAGCAAGACGATTTGGTGATTAATGCTGCGCATTACAATAAGGCCTTGAATGATACGTTTGGTGTACCGTTTACCGTGAGGTTACGGAACGGCGAGTCGTACAGTGATGTTAAGAAGCGAATCCGGGAACGTCTTGACGTTGTGAATGACAAGGAGTTCGACGCTTGGAACTTCGCTCTTGTCTTCCGCAACAAATTCATCGCTATTCCAGATGAGAATAGTGTATATGTGGATACTGTTGCTCTCACTCGAGACACTTGCTTAGGGCCAAAGCCCTGGCTCGGTGTTGAGCATGAGCCGCCGAAGCGACCTCGTTACGCACCGAGTGAAAAATCCATCAAGATTCACAATTGATAATGGAGTAGAATCTTCTCCATCTATCCTCACGTCCCAGTCTACTCATTTGCCTTCCCGCTCCTATGTTTATTTGTTGACGCCCATGAGATTTTTATTGGATAAAATATTCCTTGTAAGTGTTGAAGAACACGGTCGTACTACTCGCTTGTAGTTGCGAGGCTATGGATACTTGTCAGTATCGGCTTATGCAATTCTGTCTTCATCATTATTCCTACACTACCGGAACCGGTACCACGAGCTGAACACCCACACCGGACACGAGAGCGTGGGGCGTCGTCCCGGTTCTGTAAACATAGCTCCATTGGGAGATAAGCATTTGAAAGCATATCATTTTGCTTCCTAACATTCAAATTGGCTTGTGGTTGTTCTGCTTGGGGTTCCGTGGGGTTG